TGTCTGATGTTTATCTCTTGATTAGAACTGGGGTTATGGGTTTGGAGAAGGAAAAGGTAAAGTGACATTTTCATCATGGCATATCAAGAGGTACCTGCTATCAACATGAGTTGTCACTGTCAATGTTGAACTTGATCACCTGGCCATGGCAGTGTTCGTCACGTTTCTTCAACATAAAGTTATTCCTTTTCCTTTCCACACAGACTCTTTGGAAGGAAGTCACTATGCACAGGCTTCACTTAAGGAATGGGGAGTTAGGCTTCACCTCCTTGAGGGCAGAGTATGTCCATACCTTATTTGGAATTCTTCCGTATGGGAAATTTGTCTGTTCTTCCCTATGTATTAAATTACTCAACCACTTATTTATATAAATGTAGAATAGTGTTTTTAACACATATAGTCAAATTTCATATTCCCCTGCCCAGAATCCCACAGTGGCTTCACACCACATTCAGAATGAAATGGAAACTCCTCTCCATGGCTTAGAGGCCCTGTATGGTCTAGACCAAGCTTGTCCAACCCATGGCCTGTGGGCTGCGTGCAGCCCAGGATGGCTTTGAATGTGGCCCAACAAAAATCCGTACATTTTCTTAAAACATTATGGGAATTTTTTGTGATTTTTTTTCTTTTTTTTTTTTTTTAGCTCATCAGCTATCATTAGTTTTTTTGTGTGTGACCCAAGACACAGTTCTTCTTCCAGTGTGACCCAGGGAAGCCAAAAGATGGGATATCCCTGGTCTAGACCCTTCATCTCATAGTGCCTCACTCTCACCACAGCTTCCCCACTCCGTCAGCACTGACCTGAACACCCCAAGCCCGAGCAGCTGTAGGGCCTTGCGTTTGCCCTTCTTTCTGCCCAGCAGGCCCTTCCTTCAGACCTTCACCTGGTTGGTTTCCTCATTTCATTGAGTTTCTGAGAGCCCTTTCATCACCACCTCATTTAAAAAGAATTTTCTGTCCCGGTTCACTGTTTCCTTACCCTGCATTTCTTCATTGCATTATCCCTACTGATGTTTATATTTATTTTTTGGGTTTCTTATTTTTCTGCCAGTGTAATCCGAGCTCCATGGGGGTGGGGCTATTCACCAGAACATCCCTAACTGGTAGAGCAGTGCCTGGCACATAGTAGGAGCTCAGGAAGTATCTGTTGAATAAATGTATGAACTACTTATTTTTTTGAAGAAATCATCTTCATGTCTCTCTGGCCAAAGTGTCCTATGTCTTTATGAACTGGATGAACAAAGTGTCCTATGTTGTTATGAAATAATTCCCGTCTTTTTCCCTTCAGTGTCCTGAAGGCATTTTAGAAAGAGAGGCTTGGCTTTTTTTTTTTTCTTCTTCTTCTTCTTCATGAGAACTATGGTGTTTAAGATTGTAAATAAAGTCTGAGTGCAGTAACTCACACCTGTAACCCCAGCACTCGGGAAGGCTGAGGTGAGCAGATCACTTGAGGTCAGAAGTTCGGGACCAACCTGGCCAACATGGTGAAACCCTGTCCCTACTTAAAATACAAAAATTAGCCAGGCATGGTGGCACGTGCCAGTAATCCCAGCTACTCGGGAGGCTGAGGCGGGAAAAACACTTGAACCCAGGAGGCAGAGGCTGCAGTGAACCGAGATCATGCCACCGCACTCCAGCTTGGGCGACACAGTGAGATTCTGTCTCAAAAAAAAAAAAAAAAAATTGTACATAGATAAAAGTGCTAAGTTTCTGTTATTTGATGTATACTTGACTGTATTTAAAGTTTGATTGAGTGAGATATGCCATCACTGGACACTCACCACTGAGGAGTCCAACCTGCTATGTGCAGGTGGAGGTGCACAACAATGCCGGGACACCAGCTGCCCCTGGGGGAACTGCTGCCTCAGGATTGGAACCTTCCTCCACCCCTACTTCCTTATATTTGCATTACAATGCTTCTGGGAGCCAACCAGTCTTACCTGATTAGGTATCTCTATTGATAATGACCTGATTCCTGTATTAACCTACTCTGTGGAAGATCCCTTGGCTTTGCAGTCACTCAAAACCAGAAAGGTTCTCTAGATACTTCCAGAGAAATGCCACAGGGCTTCTTTTCGTCGTCATATGAAGCAAATTTCTTTCGGAACTTACCTCCATCATTTTCCCTAGTCTCACTCTATTAAGCAACTGTTACTTTTAGCTCCAGTTTTCAGGAATTGCAAACCTGTTCTTCACAGCCAGCCTCAGTCTCAAGCAAGCTATTTTTCTGAAACTCAACTCAGGCTTTCACAAGACTGACTACAATATAGAAAATTTACTCAGTAGGCTGCCAGTCCATGCTTCTCTGGAGGAAGAAAACTCATCTTGGTTTTTTTGGGGTTTTTTTTTTCTTTTAAAAAGAAAAATACTTGGTAATTTGGTAAAAAGCCTCCTACCCAGATTTGCTATGCTGTTTTGCCCTTGTTTATTTAGAAGATGCCACTTGGAAAGATTTACTGAATCTTCAAGCTCTAGACAGGAGACAAGGTCTTCATGGTAGAACATGTTTCAGGCAGAGCCAAGAGTATACAAAGTGAAGCAGGGTCATCATGGAGCCCTCGGTGAGAGCTGCATTTCTGGTTAATCAACAAAAGGGAGCCACCACCTAGTCATCCCTTTTCCCTGTTCATGTTCATTGGCTACCATATTATTTCCCCCGCTCCCCCAGATGGAGTCTTGCTCTGTCACTCAGGCTGGAGTGCGGTGGCACAATCTCAGCTCACTGCAACCACCACCTCCCGGGTTCAGGTAATTCTCCTGCCTCAGCCTCCCAAGTAGCTGAGATTACAGGTGCCCGCCACCACACCCGGCTAATTTTTGTATTTTTAGTAGAGATGAGGTTTCGCCATGTTGGCCAGGCCAATCTTGAACTCCTGACCTCGTGATCCTCCTGCCTCAGCTTCCCAAAGTGCTGGATTACAAGCATGAGCCACTGCGCCCGGCCTGGCTACCATATTATTAAAGGAGTTAACGAGGGTCCGAAATATCAATGGATATGCACATCACAACCACATAATTTCTCCACAAAAGATATACAGATGGCCAGTAAGCACATGAAAGTATGCTCAACATACTAGTCATTGGGGAAATACAAATTGCCTTACAATGAGATACCACTTCACACCCATTAGGATGATGTGGAAAAAATAGAACCTTGATACATTGCTGGAAGGAATGTAAAATAATGCAGCCACTTTGGAAAACAGTTGGGCAGTTTCTCAAAAGGCAGTTACCATATGACCCAGTAATTCCATTCCTAGGTACATACCCAAGAGAAATAATAACATATCTCAACATACATGCTCAAAGCAGCACTATTCAAAACAGCTGAAAGGTGCTAACAACCCAAACGTTCATCAGCTGATGGATGGGTAAACAAAATGTGGTATATCCATATAATGGAATATTATTCAGCTATAAAAGGGAATGAAGTACTGATAATGTGCTACAACATGGGTGAACCTTAAAAACATTTTGCTAAGTGAAGGAAGATAGACGTAAAATGTCAATATTGTATGACTCCATTTATATGAAATATCCAGGATAGGCAAATCCATAGAGACGGATAATGGAGGTCAGGGCGAGGGAAGAGGGATGAGGAGTGACTACTTGTGGGTATGCTGTTTCTTTTTGGGGTGGTGAAAATATTCTGGAATTAGATAGTGGAGATGGCTTCACAACCTCATAAATGCATTAAAAACTACCGAATTGGGCCACCCGTGGTGGCTCACACCTGTAATCCCAGGGCTTTGGGAGGCCGAGGTGGGTGGATTATTTGAGGTCAGGAGTTTGAGACCAGCCTGGCCAATGTGGTGAAACGCTGTCTCTACTAAAAATCCAAAAAAATCAGCTGAGCATGGTGGTGCACACGTGTAGTCCCAGCTACTCAGGAGGCTGAGGCAGGAGAATTGCTTGAACTTGGGAGGCAGAGGTTGCAGTGAACTAAGATCACACCATTTCACTCCAGCCTGGTGACAGAGTGAAACTGCCTCAAAGAAAAAAGTTACTGAATTATATGCCTTTAAAAAGTGGATTTTATGGTAGGAAAATTATATATTAATTTTTTAAAAACTCACTATTTGGAACTTGAAACCCACTAGGATGGTTAAAAGAAAAAAGTAGTAAGAAAAATAAAATAAAAATAAGTAAATAAAACAACAGGTGTTGGTGAGGATGTAGAGAAATTGGAAATCTCATTTATTATTAATGCAATTGTAAAATGGTACAGCCACTTTGGAAAGCAGTTTGGGAGTTCCTCAGATGTTAATTACGATTATCATATATTTCAGCAATTTTACTCCTAGATGTTTACCCAAGATAAATGAAAGTAGACAAATACTTGTGAATGAAAGTTCATAGCAGCTTCATTTGTAATAACCAAAAGCTGGAAACAATAGAATACTACACAGCAATAAAAAAGAAGGAACTGCTAGGCCAGGCACGGTGGCGTGTGCCTTTAGTCCCAACTACTCAGAGGCCAAGGTGAGAGCCCAGGAGTTCTTGACTGCAGTGAGCTGTGATCATGCCACTACATCCTGTATACCAGCCTGGGTGACAGAGCAAGATCTTATCTCAAAAAAAAAAAAAAAAAGGAACTACTAGTTCATGGAAAAACATGAATTAACCCCAAAAACATTATGCTAAGTGGAAGCCAGAAACCAAAGACTTTGTGTTTATATGAAGTTTCTAGAAAAGGCAGAACTATAGACAGAAAGCAGATGCATGGCTGCCTGAGGTTGGGGGTGGGAGTGGCAACTGGTGACAAACTTGCATGAGGAAATTTTTTGCGGTGATGGAAAATATTCTAAAACTGGACTGTGATGATTGGTTGCACAACTGTTTACATTTACTAAGACTCATTGAATTGTGCACTTAAAACGGGTGGATTTATGATATGTAAATTATATGTCAAAAATCTGTTTTTTAAAAATCAGTCAGTCTAGAACTCTGGGTATATTTGGATCAGAAAAAAAAACTTTCTCCCCACTTCCCCACTTTAGACTCGTCCTCCCACTGACTTGAGCTTTAACTTTGATGCCAACAAACAACAAAGACAGCTTATTGCAGAACTGGAAAACAAAAACAGGTAAGAGCGCAGAGGCTGAGCCCACTTCCAAAGTCCAGGATTATCTGATTATCATTTTCCTTGGATGGCTTTTGACCGCCCAGGAAGACCTTGCCATGGTGAACCTAGGCTAACCGAAGTCCAGGGAATGCCCTGGGCACTGATTTGTGTCTGTCTACTCTGGTAGTCCACAGCTCTGCTCACCTGCCCTCGGGGGATTCCTTTTAGCAGGGCCTTCTCCCACCCATCCGTGTGACCCCCTCTCACAATTGCATTTTTCACTCTGCTTCCCAGCAGCATTTTGCTGTATCTAGTCATCTTGTCCTGACCCATTATGCTATGTAGGACTGTCTGGTCTCTCCTTAAAAAAAAAGAAAAACCATTTAAAGGCACAGAGAGCAGACAGCACACCATTATGTACTGAAAGGTAGAAGCCAGGTCGAGGAGACCTGACCTAAGGTAACAGGCGTAGGTAGAGGCAACACAGCTGTCCACTGGGGCATCGGGGACAGGGGGAAGGAAGGGGCAGGTAAGGATTAAGGGAAGTCAGCACAGGACCTGCATTAGGAGATTGCAAGGAGTTCCCTTTTCCTCCTCCCTGAGTGGAACAGAGTAAATAAAGTATTCTGGCTGTAATTTTCCTTTCATGGAGATTTTTCAGGTCCTTGAGAAGAGTATTTTTATGACTTTTTCCACCACAAAGGATTGCTTTGTTGAGGAAATGTCAGGTGAAGCAGTATTGAGAAGGTGTCCATTTCACCTCTTGGCCATTTGGAAGCAATCAGAACAAGATTGGTAGAGGAGGCGCTGCTAGAGTTGAACACTTGTAATAGGGAAAGAGGGAGCGTGAGTGAGAAGCACTGTGCAGCCCCTTTCCATTCACACGTCCTCTCCAGAGAGATCCTGCAGGAGATTCAGCGTCTCCGCCTGGAACACGAGCAGGCCTCCCAGCCCACCCCTGAGAAGGCACAGCAGAACCCCACGCTGCTGGCAGAGCTGCGGCTGCTGAGGTGAGTAGGGACACTCTACCACTTCCCACATGTAATCTGCTATGGATGGAACTTGTCTGAGGAAACCAAAGGAGTGGGGAAGAATCTGTTGTTCAGTATAAACAATCCTGTGAGAGCAAACCACTGCAGAGTTCACCCATTCTGTTACTGCTTCAGATGTCTGGGTTCCATTAGAAATCACTCTACGAATGTCAGCCATTATCACAGAACTTAGTAAATACCAGTCTCCCAGCTCCGGAACCAGCGGGGCACTGTTTATACTTCTGTGATTGCTTTAAGAAGACCACTGTGCTGCAGTCCCTCTTCTTATCTTGCTAATTTGTCTGACTTTGGAGACAGTTGGCGGGAAGAATGCTTTGCTTTTCCTGTGAGTATATTTTCCTGGCTCTTTACAGTCAGTGCAGGGCTCTGCCAAAGGAGAAGGATGCTTCCTGTGCACGTCTCTGAGACATGAAACCCTTGCACCATGGCTTCTAAATGAAGTGTCTCAAGAATCAGGAAACTAAGGACATAGAATGAGAATGGGATTAGAGAGCAGTGTTACCACCATGTGTGACGCTGTTTTGGAGGGAATGGGGAAGTCTTCACAGAAATGATCTGATTATTAGGGTCTTATTGCCTATGAGCCTTAGGGGAAGGGGTGTGTGTGTGTGTGTGTGTGTGTGTGCGCGCGCGCGCGCGCACACACACGCGTACACACTCTTCTGTAAGTTAAGACATTATGGAAACTACATTTAGTGACTTGATTCTCACCAGATCTCTAGATTTTCAAATAGTGGGTTCTTTCTGTTTAGGTTGATTTTTAATTTGCTATTATCTGGGATTCTGTGTAGCCTCTTGTTTCTTTTCCCAGAGAATGGAGATTATTGTTTTCTGTAGATAGTTTAGATTTAGATCATCAATAAAAGTTGTCATAGTAGAGTCATAAAGAATTTAAACTGGTGCAGGTGAAAAAAATCATTAGATGTATAGAGATTTTCATTCTCCTAAAAATTTATTTTAGTTTCTTCATGTAGTTAGGCTGAGATTTGGGTGGCTCTGTGGTTCACTGCTGCACGTCTGGGGTGTTAGTACAGCTGGTGTCGTACTAGGGAGGATGGGAGCACAAATGTTGCTGACTTGGGCAGACTGTAAGTCTAGGCTGTTGGCATAAGATGCACCTGTTGTCTAGTGCCTGATTTTATATCTAGAAAAGCAAAAAGGCCTGTCATCCTGAGTCTAACTGTTGCTGAAACTGGGATTGCTGAAAATGCTCAGTTAAGCTGGAAGGATCTAAAAATTATCTTAGATGTCGTAGCAGGGCTAAGTCCAGGAATGTCACATAGGATAGCAAGAAGCAGGAATGTAATCTGAGACCAACGAGCATCTGAAGGTGGAGAAATCAGAAAGTTTTTAACCTCAAAAGGAGTTCCTATATCACTGAAGAAAGGAGGGACTATTTTAAAGTGTGCTGGGACAGTTGTTTATGCCTATGTACAAAACATGTTGGTCTTCTACCCCACACTAATTACAAAAACCGACACCAGATGGATTCGACATGAATACAGAACTTTAAAACTTCTAAAAGACTCGGGAGGCTGAGGCAGGAGAATTGCTTGAACCTGGGAGGCTGAGGTTGTGGTGAGCTGAGATTGCGCCATTGCACTCCAGCCTGGGCAACAAGAGCGAAACTCTGTCTCAAAAAAAAAAAAAAAAAAAAAACTTTCTAGAAGAAAAGTAGGAGAATGTCTTCAGGATTTTGGAATAGAAAGTAATATCTTAGAATTACCATGAAAGAAGAAGTTGGTAAATCCACTTATATTAATATTAAGAACTTTTGCTTATCAAAAGACACATAAAGGGCTGGATTCGCTTGTAGGTATCTGACATCCGTCTGCTTTTGATCAGTGTGTATGAGGCCTGGGACTGCCAGTACCCAGTTAGTATAATAAAACAAGGTGGACAACTTCACCCATAGGGTGAGTGGCTATGAGCCTTGCACCAGGGTTGCCTTTTCTTCCTTTATTATTATTTTTAATGGTATGTTGCTTACAATAAAATGTATGACAAATGTGCGTGTGACAAACGTTTATGAAGCATAATAGTCAAATGAATACTTATGAACCCACATCCTATTTGAGAACTCCTATATGACTAAAACAATGTCATCCATAGAAGTACCTCTCCCTTATCCCATTTCCTTGCCTTCACCTTCCCCACTGGGTGAACCCCTATCCAGAATTTGGTTTATCATTACCTTGTGTTTAAAACAGTATTATCGCATTATCACTATCCTATGTAATAAACTGTTTAGTTTTGCCTTTTGTTTTCTGATCTTAATAGAAATATTGTACTAATATGGTGGGGATAGTCCCAGAGGACTTCCCTGTATACCCCCTACCCCTACCATATTAGCCTTTAGGATCATTCCATGTGGTTGGATGTAGCTGTAGCTCATTCATTTTCACCCTATACCATAATTGTTTGGTCACACACAGTACAGATAAAGAATATAACATCCAGGCTCAGGAGTTCAGGGAAGGAAATCTTCCTAGAACATTGAATGAGTAGGTCCTTCTTCTGGAGAGTCTACTGTACTGGAAGTTTAGGGAGTATGAAGACTAGAAGACAATGAGTCCTTCCTAAAAACTTATAATCTGATTTGGGAACAAAACAGAAAATAATTTGGTAGTCAGTTAAATAGTATTGTGCAATGTCAATAAACAGTATGGATAAGAAATCTGTGCAGAGAAATATATATATATATAATATAAAGTATATATACACGAGATATTTTACATATATAATACCTATATAATATAGGTATTATATCTATATTCATTCTCTACCACCTTTGTGTGTCTAATTTTCCTCTGGAAGCATTCGGACCCATGGAGGTGGTAGAAGTTGAGCTAGACCATGAAAAGTAGATAATGATTTGGATGGAGTGTAGGACAAAACATTTCAGATTGGAAGTGTGCTTGGGGTTCAGTATGATTCCCCCAAATAATTATGGCACATTTCAGAAAAGGGAAAGAGTCTTGGAACTAAAAATTTCTTTTCAATCATGCATTACATCAATCTTTTTTTTTTTTTTTTTTTTTTTTTTTTTGAGACGGAGTCTCGCTCTGTCGCCCAGGCTGGAGTGCAGTGGCGCGATCTCGGCTCACTGCAAGCTCCGCCTCCCGGGTTCACGCCATTCTCCTGCTCAGCTCCCGAGTAGCTGGACTACAGGCCCACACCGCGCCCGGCTAATTTTTTTTTTTAGTAGAGACGGGGTTCACCGTGGTCTCGATCTCCTGACCTTGTGATCCGCCCGCCTCGGCCTCCCAAAGTGCTGGGATTACAGGCGTGAGCCACCGCGCCCGGCCATTACATCAATCTTTAGAGTGCCAGTGATAGGAGATACAATTTGCCAGGCAATTGAGATCAGATTCTAGAAAGTCTTAATTGTTAGGTCATTGGAAACCCTTGGAGAGTTCCAAATCATGATTTTGGTAAGTTCGGTAGATGTTAATTAGGCGATACTGGATGCCTGATATTTTCTTCATCCTTCAATACATGCAGAGATGAGTAAGGCCCATCCCTGACCTCAAGGATTTTGCATCATGGTAGGAATGGCACTGAGTAAAGTAAATTAAGTACCACCGAGGAGCACTAATTACTGTAGTGCTTAATCAAGCAGTCCCTGCTGCAGTGATCAGGAGCAGCTTCCTGACAGTGATGTTGGGTCAGACATTAAGGAATGAATAAGATTTGGAAGGTGAGTTATGTAATTATGGAGCCCACTTAGGAAAAGTGAACCATAAGCTGGAGGTCCAGACAAAAAGGGCATAAAATAGGAGGTGAGGTGCTAAGGATAGGAATGTAGATGGGATCTAGAGCCGCACTCTCCAATAGAAATGCAGGCCACATATGTAATTAAAAATTTTCTAACAGTCTCATTGAAAAACCAAAAAGTAATAGGTGGCATTAATTTTAATACTATATTTTACTTAACCTGATATTTTCAAAATATTATCCTTTCAACGTGTAATGAGTATTAAAACATGATCAAGATAGTTTGCTTTTTTCTGCACTAAGTCTTTACAATTGCTGAGCATCTCAATTCAGACTAGCTGTGTTTCAGGGGCTCAGTAGTCAGGCATGGCTAGTGGCTACTGTGATAGACAGCATAGGTCTAGATTGTGCAGGCAAGGGTCAGTGATGCTAGAAATTCTGTTGCGATCATTATGGGACGATGAACATAGCTTTGCTTTGAGCAGCAGTTTAAAGTTCATAGAACACCCTCATGTTTATTACCTTATATGATCCTCAGAATATTGTTGCTGTTACTAGTCCCCTTTTAGAGGAGAGAAAACTGAGGCTAAGTGACTTGTCTATGGTTGCATATTTGCGAAATACTGGGACTGATACTCAACTTTGAGGCTGTTGACTTCTATTCCACTGCTTTTTCCTCACCATAAAAGATGAAAGAGCCAGTTGCGGTGGCTCACACCTGTAATCCCAGCACTTTGGGAGGCTGAGGCGGGTGAATCACTTGAGGTCACGAGTTCGAGACCAGCCTTGCCAACATGGTGAAACTCCATCTCTACTAAAAATACAAAATTAGATGGGCATGGTGGTGATGCCTGTAATCCCAGCTATTTAGGAGGCCTGAGGCAGGAAAATCGCTTGAACCGGGGAGGCGAAGGTTACAGTGAGCCAAGATCGCACCATTGCACTCCAGCCTGGGCGACAGAGTGAGACTCCATCACAAAAAAAAAAAAAAAGCAGGATTAATCACACAAGGAGACTGTTTGATGTTTGAGGAAAGGAGTGCTTAGATAAAGCAAGCGAAATGGGAATAGAAAGATAGGCACATAAATTTTCCAAGAAAGAATGATCTGAATTGTGTTATTGATTGAATATGGGATATAAAGAAGAAAGTAACAAAGAGGACTGAGGTTTTCAGCCATGACACCTGGAAGGAAAAATAGCAGAGACAGAAAAGAGACAGAGACAAGAAAAAAAAGAGACAGAGACAAGAAAACCATTTAGGGAGAAAAATCTTAAGTCTGGTTTTGGACATACTGAGCTAGAGTAGATGGTGTAAAATGTATCCTCAAGGAAAAGTGACTGTTCTTGGACACAGGGAGCCATCTTGATCTGTCACCCTTCTTGAATCTGTCTAGTGTCAGAAGTACTTGCTACTGAACCCTGTTTTCTCTGAGCAGTTTAATATGGTTTATCTACTATTAATCTAAATTTGGGCTGATTTTATATATTTTTCGAAAAGCATTGACTTTCTAAAGAGTTTTTTGATCATTAATTCACTCTGGTAATATGAATAATATCTTTATATGGTCATGTAAACTTTCCAAAGCACTTTTACCTATGATTCTCAGAACAGTCCAGGAAAGCAGGCAAAACAGACATTATCACCATTTTATGAGGTATTGGAAGCTAAATGACTTGCTCAGCGTCTCATAACTGGTAAGTAGCAGGATCAGGTCTGAAATCCGTTTCACCTGGCCTTAGATCCATCTTTGAGGGTCCCTTTATCTGATGGGCTTCTCCTCTTGGACAGGCAAAGGAAGGATGAACTGGAGCAGAGGATGTCGGCCCTGCAAGAGAGCAGGCGGGAACTGATGGTCCAGCTAGAAGAGTTGATGAAGTTGCTGAAGGTAAGAGCCTGCGGCCCACGCTCAGTTCTTGTCATTCTCCCACCACAGCCTCAGCTGCTACCTCCCTGTGATGTCAGAATAGGATGAGGCTAAAGGCTTGACTTTAGCCTAGAATCAGTTTTCAGATAAATTTCCATAAATTTAGCCTAATTGGGTATAAAAGTCATGTAAATTAGTGCAAAGCCAGATTATTAAAAAACTTGTAACTGGAAGTAGGATAACGTGTTGAACAGTTGCTTTTATGAATACATAAGAATGTTTATAAATAGGATATTAGCTATGTACCAATGAATAATGTTTCTCAACTACTTAAAGTGGTGTTTGTTTGTTTGTTTTGAGATGGAGTCTTACTCTGTCGCCCAGGCTGGAGTTCAGTGGTGCCATCTTGGCTCACTGGAACCTCCGCCTCCCAGGTTCAAGTGATTCTCCTGCCTCAGCCTCCCGAGTAGCTGGGATTACAGATGCCCACCACCACGCCTGGCTAATTTTTTTTGTATTTTTGGTAGAGATGGAGTTTCGCCATGTTGGCCAGGCTGGTCTCAAACTCCTGACCTCAGGTGATCCACCCACTTCAGCCTCCCAAAGTGTTGGAATTGCAGGCGTGAGCCATTGCTCCTGGCCTTAAAGTTTCTGTTAAGACAAGTTTTCAAATATTCCACTTAAATACTTAACAAATATTAAGTGTCCTATTTCAATAAGTAGTACAGAGACAACCTGTATTAGGGTTCTGTAGAAAAATTGGACCAGTAGAATATATATAAAGATATCTAAGAGGGGATTTATTATGGGAATTGGCTTACAGTCATGGAGGTAAAGAAGTCTCATGTTAATGCCATCTGCATCCTGGAGACTGAGAAAGCTGGTGGTGTAATTCAGTCTGTCTCTGAAGGGCTGAGAGCCAGGGGAACTGATGGTGTGACTCCCAATCTGGGAGGTGGCTTGGGAGATGGGCGGTGTTGTGTTACTGGTTTAAGTCCCAGAGTCCAAAAGCCCAAGAACTTGGGGAGCTCACATGTCTGAGGGCATAGAAGATGATGTTCTAGCACAATAGCCCTTCCTCTGCCTTTTTCTTCTATCCAAGTCCTCAGTGGATTGGATGATGCTGCCCATGTTGGTGAAGACAGATCTTTATTCAGTCTAGTGATTCAAATGCCAATCTCTTTTGGAAACACCCTCACAGACACACCCAGAAATTATGTTTTACCAGCTAACTATCCTTTAGTCTGGTAAAGTTGACACATAAAAATAACCATCACAAAAACCAACCTAATTAAACCATTCTAGTCAGTAACTTTACTATATTAGGAGTAAGATAGCGTATTAGCTCTAGGTTTGGGATACTGGGGAACTGAATACATGCGTAATAAGTCAGGTCTATCTTGTGGTGTGATCATAGCTCACTGTAACCTTGCTTGAGCTGGGTTCTAGGGATCTGCCTGCCTCAGCCTCCTGAGTGGCTAAGACTACAGGCACACGAGGTCTGTCTATTCTTGTTGAAAGCTGTATTACAACCCCTTTACCCCTGAGCAAAGAAAGGCATGCTTGGCATTTGAATGCCCTACCCTGGACAATTTTATTGGAATTGAACAGAAATATCTACCTGGTTACTTAGCAGCAATACCAGGATACTTCCTCCGCTGAGAACCTGCTGCATTTAGTAGTATGATACCGAGTTAACAGCCAGAGAAAATCACAAAGTGTGGAGTGCCCCCAAAGCCAGATGACAGGAGTGAATTTAATATTGTGGTAAAGGGGAGTCATTGGAGGTTTTAAAAATAAGTTTAGGAAAATACGCAGGACAAGTTAGAACAGGGAGAAACTAAAGGATAATAGGAGACTTAGTTCATCCTCCAGGCCCAAAGTGACAAGGTTCTTAACCCCAGGAGTGGTAGCCCAGGAGAATATCAGTTTAGAGACTTTTCTCCAACTTGTGCATCCTAAGTCAGTCTCTTAGTAATGAAGCTAGTGGGCATTAGCAACTTGGATAAATGTAGAATTTGTGTTTTAAACTGAATTTTGACTTGCGCAAGACAGTTACTGTTTTGTCATGAGTTGAGTTGTTGTTGTTGGTGGTGGTGGTGGTGGTTGTTGTTGTTTTCCTCCTAGCTTTGGCCGTATTTGGGTTGTTTTGCATAGATATGTTTCTACATTAACCCTGTTAGCAGGATTTTTCCTCAGAAATATTTTGTGTCTAAATGGGTCTTGTTTAAAAAAGATCTTATGTAAAAATTTGGCCCAAATCCCTATAATAGTTGTCAGATATCCAGCTAAGCAACCTAGCCCCTCACTCTAAACAGCAGGAATGTACTTAAACATACATGGCCTGTGTAACATCTGAAGCCTCATGGGACTTTAAAAGCCCAGCTGCCATGGAGTTAGTACACCTGTGGGATGGGAGATATCTAGTCAGTATCCAGTCGGGTACAGTGGCTAACGCCTGTAATACCAGCACTTTGGGAGGCCAAGGCGGATGGATCACTTGAGGCCAGGAGTTCAGCCTGGCTGACATGGCAAAACCCTGTCTCTACTAAAAATACAAAAATTAACCGGGTGTGGTGGCACGTGCCTGTGATCCCAGCTACTCAGGAGGCTGAGGCAGGAAAATCGCTTGAACCCAGAAGGCGGAGGCTGCAGTGAGCGGAGATTGCACCACTGTACTCAAGCCTGGGTCACAGAGTGAGACTCAGTCTCAAAAAAAAAAAAAAAAAACTAGGGGATCCACTCACCTCTTCTGTGTGTCACATCTCCCTTTTTAGAAAGATGTTCTCAAATATTACCCAAGCATAGATGGGAAAGTCCCAGTGCCCCAATGTGGTTTTTGTAAAAGGCAAAAGGCGTATGTAAACTGAAGGGAAACCAGAGTGCATCTCCCCTAAGTAACCTTGTACCATCGCCTTTCAGTTGGATTGTCTTAGCGATCCCCAGAACTACTGACTCCAAGCCCCATGCATGCCACTGTGGCCTTCTAGTGTACCACTGATGCTTGTATTCAAGGGCTAAGCAGAATGAGCTAATGCCCGCAACTCTACTCCCAAACCTCGAGTTTCTTTATATTTGCAGCTGTAATCAGTAAAATAAGCAGGACACTGCTGCCCCTGTAGGATCCCCTGCCAGGTTCTTACCCATCTGACAGGCTAAGACTATTCAGACTGGGAGGAAGAATTTGCAAACACAAATCCGGGAATGTTGTCTTTCTATCCATTGGCTAGAATTCACAGTCGAAAATCTCATGCCTTTAGTGTCTAGCTTCCTAAAAGAATTACCACATAATCTTAATTTGTGTATTATATGCATACCTAAAAGTTCACACACAGGAATTACTGACTTCTATTAAAATTTCAGTGTTCTCCTACTATTAAAAATATATATTCATCAACCCATAAAAGTACCCTTTAGAATCCTAATTTTAGGCCAGGTGCAGTGGCTCACACCTGCAATCCCAGCACTTTGGAAGGCTGAGGTGGGTGGATCACTTGAGGTCAGGAGTTTGAGACCAGCCTGGCCAACATGGTGAAACCCCATCTCTACCAAAAATACAAAAATTACCCGAGCATGGTGGCATGCGCCTATAATCCCAGCAGGATTTATCCTCAGAAATACTTTGTGTCTAAATGGGTTTTGTTTAAAAAAAATCTTATGTAAAAATTTGACCCAAATCCCTATAATAGTTGTCAAATATCCAGCTAAGCAACCTAGCCCCTCACTCTAAACAGCAGGGATGTACTTAAACATACATGGCCTGTGTGACATCTGCAGCCTCATGGGGCTTTAAAAGCCTGGCTGCCATGGAGTTAGTACACCTGTGGGATGTGAGGAACACAGGAGGTAGAGGTTGCAGTGAGTCGAGATCGCACCACTACACCCCAGCCTGGGTGACAAAGCAAGACCCTGTCTCAAAAAAAAAAAAAAAAAAGAAGAGAGAGAGAGAGAAAATCCTGATTTTAATTTAAAAGGGTTGCCTGCTTTTATTGATGTTCAGTATGCTAGCATTTAATTCTCTCATAAAATAGCTGTAAGCAGTTAGTCAAATGGACAATCAAGCCACATGGTCTGGGATACTCATAAATTAAAATACATCACACAATAATTTTCATGCCACAGGGAGTTCTTTCATTCTACTGCTTCAGGAAACTATTAGGTACTTTATCTTCTGTCTGAAATGATAATTTAAAGAAGCATACATAAGAAGTGACATCATTGTTAATTCATTCAACAAAAATATTAATCCTTTTTTGGAATAAGGCAGGGTTAAAATTAATTTTTTTGTTTATTTAATAAAAATCTGTTGAGTTCCTAAGTATCATATTAGGTATTTGGCATATCGTGGTGACTAGACCCAATCCCTGTCACCAAGGAGTACCAAGGTCCCTCCTTCTTGTTTTTTGGTTTTTGTCTGAGGTGGAGTCTCACTATGTTGCCCAGGCTGGGGTGCAGTGGCACAATCTTTGCTCACAGCAACCTCCGCCTCCCAGACTCAAGTGAGTCTCCTGCCTCCTGCTTCAGCTTCCTGAGTAGTTGGGATTGCAGGCACCCACCACCACAACTGGCTAATTTTTCCATTTTTAGTAGACAGGCTTGGCCTCCCAAAGTGCTGGGATTACAGGCACGAGCCACCCTTTATTCTTTTTAATGACGTGATGTAGACTGACACTTAGGCATTCATATTTCTGTACATATCTTTCCTTTATACCTTTTTACCTGATTAATGAGTATTAATTAATTACTAGCCTCAAAAAAGGCCAGGTGCAGTGGCTCATGCCTGTAATCCCAACACTTTGGGAGGCTGAGGCAGGTGGATCACCTGAGGTCAAGACCAGCATGGCCAACATGATGAAACCCCACCTCTACTAAAAATACAAAAATTAGCCAGATGTGGTGGTGCACGCCTATAATCCCAGGTACTCGGGAGGCTGAGGCAGGGGAATCACTTGAACCCAGGAGGCAGAGGTCATGGTGAACCAAGATAACACCATTGTACTCCAACCTGGGTGACACAGTGAGACTCCATCTCAAAAAAAAAAAAAAAAAGGAAGAAAAAAGAAACTCTTTATCAGATGAGTTCTGCAGTTTTGAATTTCAACCTCATTTGCAAATGTTTATCTAGTTTGAGTGTAAATTTTTTTTTTTTTTTGAGATAGAGTCTCGCTCTGTCACCCAGGCTGGAGTGCAGTGGCATGATCTCGGCTCACTGCAAGCTCCGCCTCCTGGGTTCACGCCATTCTCCTGCCTCGGCCTCCCGAGTAGCTGGTACCACAGGCACCCGCCACCATGCCCGGCTAATTTTTTTTGTATTTTTAGTAGAGATGGAGTTTCACCGTGTTAGCCAGGGTGGTCTCGATCTCCTGACCTCATGATCTGCCCACCTCGGCCTCCCACAGTGCTGGGATTACAGGTGTGAGGCACCGCGCCCGGCCGAGTGTAAGTTTTTATATAAATGACTATAGTGGCTATGCCATTGCTTTGGCCACCTTGCCAGACCTCGTTCATGTGGAAGAGACTCACATGTTATTAGGTGACATAAGCAGTTCTAAGTTTACACTTTATAATTAAGGTATTATTACCCCCTTTTAAATCAACGTTGGCTCTATCCCTTGTCATCAGTCAATATTTAGTGATCCCAGCTGACTGGTTGATAACACAGAGGTTCTCAGACCTGGGATCTGACCTGCTTACTGTGTTGACAGAGCCTTAAAGGCTTTATCTGAATAAATTTTGTGAGTTTAAATTATACAACACTATCCTAAATAACACTTTGCCAAAGTCCACTCTCTCCCCAATACCAGGCCACATGGAAGGCCTATAAGTCCTGGAAGCACTGCCCTGCCCACTGTCCCCAGCCTAACCTGATATATGTCTACTGCAAATTATGATTTCTCTTCTGACAAACTTAAATTGCAATCACCAGATGTCCAAGTATGAAACATTGCTTTCTGAAATTTCCCTATTCTGTTTAGCCACTGCAGTGTTCTCTTTAATACCAAACCTGGAGAAAACTGTGAAAGTAGAGAGATGTCTTAGAAACAGTTCTAAGAAATTACATACTAGTCTTCTGACCTCGGATACAATTTCAGCCTGTTAGGATTGCCCCATCCTTCCCCAACCGTCGCACTTTCCACTTCAACACAGTGCCAGCAATGAAAACACATTTTATAATTGTTTAATAACTGTCCTATGACTGTTTGCCTTGCCTCATGAATATAAGAAAAGTGTCCTGCCCGAAAGGGAAGTCTGGCAAGGAAGAGAGCTTGCTTCCTAACTGCGAAACAGGTGCAAAAACAGAAGCGCTCTACCTCCTTCACACTGCCAGAGCCGGTGCTCAGCACTCTGAGCCTGGGCTCCTGTGAGTTTGGCTTTGGTCAGGCATCCAGCATCTGGCTTTGATTGTGAAGAGCACCTTCCTGTGCTGAGGTGGGAGTCTCCTTGAGAGATTTCTCAGTGCCCATTTATTTCTAGTCCCTGTCTCTCCTTTGCAGTAATAAAAATTATGTTCTCCAAGTGTTCACTCACCCTCTCCCTTTCGTAATTCCTCTGCTTTACTGAGGTCTTTCTCACCATTGCACCCAGGTCTGTAGACTGTGTGGGAACAGGAGCACTTACCCATTCCTGAGACTTCCTAGGCACATACATGTTCAGTAAAGACTGGCTGCATGAATTGGTCCAATTTAAATAGAGCCATTGCACAGCTTTTAGATTTACTAGGCCAAAGAGCTGAGGCTCCCTGACCACAGTGACCCATGGTGAGGCACAGAAAGAGGAGGTGGAAGAGACCCATTAAAAGACAGAGTAGATGAGTAGCAAAGAACTGAAGAAAGAGAAACTTGAAAGTATTCTCTTTATCCTTTTTCCTACAGTGTCTGATAGTGCGTTCATTTGGGCAGTCAGCTGATAGCCAGCAAGTGCCTGCTCTATGTTCCATCACTATACGGTTCTAAAAGACAGAGACCGGCCAGGTGCGGCGGCTCACGCCTGTAATCCCAACACTTTGGGAGGTCAAGGTAGGGGGATCACTTGAGGTCAGGAGTTCGAGACCAGCCTGACCAACCTGGTGAACCCCATCTCTACTAAAAAAAAATTAGCTGGGCTTCGTGGCACATGCCTGTAATCCCAGCTACTCAGGAGGCTGAGTCAGGAGAATTGTTTGAACCCAGAGGTGGAGGTTGCAGTGAACCCATATCGCACCATTGCACTCCATCCTGGGCAATAAGAGTGAAACTGTCTCAGAGAGAGAGAGAGAGAGAGAGAGAGAGAGAGATTGATTTAGATGACAGAGACCATTTCTTTATGTTTCCAGTGCTTTCTGCACAAGAAGTACTAAATAAACCTGTACTGAATTAACGAAAAACTGAGATCAAGAATTCTTTTTTGAATGACCTTTCAGGGTCTCCAAACAGTTTCTGGTTTATTGGGGGAAGTGGGTATGTATGGGACTCACTGGAAAAACAAACAAACAAACAAAAAAAAAGTGTTCCTGAAAGCAGGTAGATGGGGCTACAGTTCCAACATGTTTAGTGTGGAGAGGGGACCAAATAAGAAAAGAACCTGTCGTGGGCAGACTGCTAGTTGGGAAGTGATGAGAGCAGTGGGTCTCAGACTTGTATGCACCAGAAGCAGACAAGGTTGAATGCAATGCCGTGCCCTATCCCTAGAGCTTCGGTTTGGTGGGGATAGGGTGAGGCACAAAGTTTACATCTCTGACAAGTTCCCAGGTGATGCCAATGCTGCTGGTCTGTGTTCCATGCATCGAAAACCACTTGCCTGGATAAATGTACCTAAACACATGTGAATATCATGAATGATGAAATAGAATTACTATTAGAATTTCTTTTTTTTTTTTTTTTTTTTTGAGATGGAGTCTCGCTCTGTCGCCCAGGCTGGAGTGCAGTGGCGCGATCTTGCCTCACTGCAAGCTCCGCCTCCCGGGTTCACGCCATTCTCCTGCCTCAGCCTCCCGAGTAGCTGGGACTACAGGCGCCCACAACCGTGCCCGGCTAATTTTTTGTATTTTTAGTAGAGACGGGGTTTTACCGTGGTCTCGATCTCCTGACCTTGTGATCCGCCCGCCTCGGCCTCCCAAAGTGCTGGGATTACAGGCGTGAGCCACCGCGCCCGGCCTAGAATTTCAAGTCATGGTTGCACTTCCTCTTTCAGATTCCCCTAAACAGCTATGTGAACTGTAGGCAGGTCAGGCCCTCTAGGCCTGTTTCATCTACAGTAAGAATGTTGGCAAGGTGGTTTCTAAGGTTCTTTCCTTCTAGCTCTAGGAGTTAGCATTGAATTACTCGCCGGGCCACGGTCTGCTGCTTGCTTCGTCCTCTGATGCTCCTGTGGGGGGATGGGGCCTTTGATCTCAGCACCCATGGGCCTGGCCTGGTTTGTCTGATTTTTCTATCATTTCTTCCCAATGTTTGTGGTGATGGGCATTAATTTCTCTCCTTTTTTCCTCTGCCTTTTTTTTCATCTTCAACACTCCAGGAGGAAGAGCAAAAGCAGGCAGTAAGTGAACTTCAGAATTTCCCGCTGGACTCTCGCTCTTGTTGCACGTTCTTTCTTTACTCATGTAAATGTTTCTCCTCTTCTCCCAGCACATCATCTCTGAAGAGGGTTTTACATGTAAAACTCCCAGTGGGTCTCCCCGTGGTGTTGTAAAATGTTCTAAAAGTTCAAAGCATGTTTACCCGGTAGAGCATGTTCTTACTTAAAACCAGAGCTTGTAAGTACCCATCTGTTGTGAGCATTGAAGTGTGCATGATTAGCCAGGCTACCATTGCATTTTCCTGCCTTTCATTCTCTGTTGTTTTGTGTCTGGAGTGATTTTAATTCCTTGAAACAACTTTCGGGGTGCTGGGGTGACCTCATGTCATGAATGAATGTGCATGAAAATGAGGACTTATTTTGCTAACTATAGATGTCGTGCAGTCTTGACTAGGCTTCTGGATGCTGGGGCTGTGCCAGCCTTCTTAACAAAATTACTGACAACGACTGAGGCACTGACTCCACTTGCAGTGATTTCCTGTTCAGAACCTACTCCAGAGGGAGCTCAGGTTTTTCTGAGCTGTGTGGCTGCTGCATGGTGTTTGGGGGAGGTTTATATTTGTTTTTGTTTTTCCCGATAGCCACTGACCCACACAAGAAAGTCAATTGCAGACTTATCTACAATATTAGCACCATATGTTTATATAACATAGTAAGGTTTCAAAGCATACATTTTTTAAACTGAAGCTGAGTTTTTGTTTACCTTGGAGCTTTTTGTCCTTCGGGAGAGAAACATAAAACGTTTAATTTTAAAAATTTGCCTTTTTTTTTGAGACGGAGCCTCGCTCCGTCGCCCAGGCCAGAGTGCAGTGGCATGATCTCGGCTCACTGTACCATCTGCCTCCCCGGTTCAAGTGATTCTCTCGCCTCAGCCTCCTGAGTAGCTGGGACTGTAGGCGTGCACCACCACACCCAGCTAATGTTTGTATTTTTAGTAGAGACGGGGTTTCACCATATTGGCCAGGCTGGTCTCGAACTTCTGACCTCATGATCCACCCGCCTTGGCCTCCCAAAGTGCTGGGATTACAGGCATGAGCCACTACACCCGGCCTACCCGTTTTTTAAAAAAAACACAAATGAATACATGTTTTAGGTTAGGAATATAAAACATTATACTTATAATTTCTAGCTAGGAGAGCAATGGGACCATAAAGAGAAAGGAAAGAAGAGATAGGTAGTGAGGGGAGGAGGCGAGAAGAGGGTACAGAGGAGGCAGACTGTCAGAAAGGGAGAAAGAAGATGGTGCATGGCATCAGGAGTGGCCAACAGCCCAGAAATCTGATGGCTTTCATGGAACCAAAGTGCACTTGTTTAGGTTTTTGCTAGTTTTGGTTCTTTTTTCTTCATTCACACAGAGTTTATTGCTTCCATCTCTGGCACTTCTGCATCAGTAGGTACATTTACATGGGCAAAGCAGAACAGGATGGAAATCAAGCCCAGCCATTACATGCTGCTTCCAGGAAGTGACACACATCACTTCCTCTCCATTTCATTGGCCAGAGCAAGTCACATGACCACACTTCACCTCAAGGGGGCTGGGAAGTCTAATCCTCCAGTTTGTCCAGAAGTCCCAGAGAAGCAGATGTTGGAAATACCTCCCCCAAGTAGACGAATGAGTGAGACTGTTGGAGGAAGAGAAAGGAGACTACTTATCCTCCCAGCTCCTGATAGTCTCATCCCCTTGTTATGAAGTATTCCCTTCCTAGTGATCCAGGGTGTCACTTCACCTGTTGTTGCTGATCACTAGTGTCCCCTCCTTCTCTTCAGCCCTCCATACCCCAGAGATGCACTTTGCAGCTGCAGCTACTTGCTGCAAATCTACTTCCAACAGTCTGCCAGACTAGCACAGCATCTCCTGATCTCTCTCTGCGTGCACCTGCTCCAAGTGAGCACAGACTGGAAACACCCTACACCTCACCTGAAAACTCTTTCAGAAGAGGGCAGGCATTGTGGATATTGATCTTAGTGGTAGCAGTAGAGCTTCCAGTAGACATTTCATTTAAAAAATGTTTAATCCAAGAAGCAGGAATTACCACTGCTGTGATATTAGTTCTCAGGTCAATTTAAAGCTAGTCTTCACTATAAATATTTGCTGAATGATAACCAGTATTAACCAATTTTATAAGATTTTGACTTATAGTCTGTATGAATTAATAATTGTATTAATTATAAGGGACATAACTAGTTCACATACCTATAGCAGTTATTTTGCTCAAGGCACTCCCAGATAGATCCATTCAGGAGACTAAATTATAGCTCAGAAATATCCTTTATAAAAAGGAATCTGAGCCGGGCGCGGTGGCTGACACCTGTAATCCAACACTTTGGGAGGCCGAGGCAGGTGGATCATGAGGTCAAGAGATCGAGACCATGTAGCTAATGTGGTGAAACCCTGTCTCTACTAAAAATAGAAAAAATTAGCTGGACGTGGTGGTGCACCTGTAGTCCCAACTACTCAGGAGGCTGAGGCAGGAGAATGGCGTGAACCTGGGAGGCGGAGGTTGCAGTGAGCTGAGATTGCGCCACTGCACTCCAGCCTGGGCGACAGAGCGAGACTCCGTGTCAAAAAAAAAAAAAAAAAAAGGAATCCGATTTCCCAAGAAAGCAAATAATAAAAATAATTTTTTAAAAAAAGAATCTGAAAAAATTTTATATTACTGAAAAAAAACCAAGCTGATTAGTATTATTATTAATATTGTTATTTCTGTCTAAAGAAAATACACTGATACATAGCATAAAAATCACCTTATCTTTTAAAGATAATAATCTATAAAATGCAGGATATCTATAGTTATTTGCATCATTTGAAAATATTTTGAACATTTCTCAGTAAAAGTCCAGTGCTTACAGTCAGAAATATGGTTGTAGGATTCATCAGCATGTTACAGAGGGGACACTAGGGTCACCACAGACTGATTAGGTCCCTACTGGCAATGGTGTTTATGACCATTGGTGCACTTGAGCTATGGGCCACTCCGGTCTCGATCAAACAATATCCCAGTCCTAGTCTGGAAAGAGTTCAGATGTACAAGTTCACTCTAGGAACATTTTAGGGTTCCATTTTTCCTAGTGACTCAGTGCACCATAAAATTTCACTGCTGGATCTCTAACACCACATTCACTGAGCTATCCAAGGAAATGGGTTCTGTTTATTCATGAAGGATGTGTTTCCTGCAACATTTGTCTGATCTCTCCTATTAGAAGTTAATTACCTAATAATGATCATCTGGCCTAAAGACTGTAACTTTATATACATTTTATAGAACATTTTATATAATGATCATCAGACTTAAATACTGTAACTTTAGACAGTGAAAGTTATGTAAGGATAGGAAGCTCCTTCAGGGTGGCCTTGGCCCAGCTTAGGTAGTGGGGCAGCGGTCCAAAGGGTAATATACCTGGCACTCTGAAAATAATGTAATTAGTGGAATATTGGGGAATTGGCTAAGAGAACATTGCCACTCTTGGGACCTTTCCTTTTTCTTCAGTGAGTTTGGCTATCACGTGGGATCTTGCCATCATGTCCTGTCTGATTTCCAAGACCCAGACAAATATCCAGCTACAGCTGTACCAAAGAGAGCAGGTTTGGCCTGGCTCCAGGAAGCCCCCATTTCTGATCACAGCTCTACCAAATATGCCTCAAAGGAAGGGCACTCAATGTTTAGTTAGCAATGGTCGACCCACAAGGGCTCACATGAACCTCATGAATATTAACTTTGTAAGTTTAAGAGAAAGTACTTTCAAAAAAACAAACCTATGCGACAAGAAAAAGAAACCTCCTCTTTGTCCACTAAAGAAATTGTTGGTGAACCCCTTGATGTCAGCATGCCTCATGGGTCACGTTCCCATCTTAGCCTTTGGATACAGTCTCACTGGGAAGCGATTCAGATTCACATGCTTCTGCAGTCTTCTGGGCTCCCTGGCTCTTAATCCTCTGAAATAGAAGCCTGAGTCTACTTCCCGAAAGGCAAAGGATTGCCATTCATTTATTTATTTAGCAGTGTTTTACTATATATGTTCAAGGCAGTGATCCTGGCCTTTTGGAGGTTAAAAAGAGAAATCGTACTCAAATACCACCATCAAATAGTCTGAAAGTTATTTCATGGTTGACATGATATCCTAAATGCAGAAACACAAGCCGGGTCAGTGGTATCCTGGGCCTCAGGCACCACTGTGGCCCTCCTAAGTTGGCAAACTATACAGACGTCTGTTGGTAAGTGAGGATTGCTGTGCTATACATAGGACTCTCCCACAAACCTTTAGCCTGGTCGCAGTCCCAGGATAGGTGCATAGACTGTCTGCCAGTGTTAGCTCCCTCCCACACATGGCCTCGCAAGAGTCGGCAGGATGTATTCATCCATCGGCCTTGGCACCTGTACTCACCGTAGGGACCTGGCAGTTTGTTGTTATTTTTTTTCCAAAAAGAGGAAATATCACTACAATATTAAAAATAGGTTTGGCTTTTCTTTTTTTCTTTTTTTTTTTTTTTTTTTTGAGACAGAGTTTCGCTCTTGTTGCCTAGTCTGGAGTACAATGGCATGATCTCAACTCACTGCAACCTCCGCCTCCTGGGTTCAAGTGATTCTTCTGCGTCAGCCTACCTAGTAGCTGGGACTACAGGTGCACGCCACCACGCCCGGCTAATCTTTGTATTTTTAGTAGAGATGGGGTTTCGCCATGTTGGCCAGGCTGGTCTCAAACTCCTGACCTCAGGTGATCTGCCTGCCTCGGCCTCCCAAAGTGCTGGGATTACAGCCATGAGCCACTGCATCCAGCCATAGTTTTTCTTTATGATTAAGTATAAGTTTATTTGAGCCCAAAGCTTGAGGATGGCCCCCCCAGGAGCAAAGATTCAAATATACATTCTGATTAGCAGCAGTTATAGTGAGTTTAAAAAAAAAAAAAAATGAAAAGGCAGTTCCTAAGTCGTTTACCAAGAACTTACATTAAAGTAACATAAG